GGCTACTTAAGTTATTTTGTTCAATTTTAAAAATAAAAATTAAAAAACAGAACACAAAATAGATWAATGATAGGGGAGAAAGGAGAGGCTTGTTGACATGGGAAGCCAAGTTTTAATACATAGAAGAAGAAGAAGAAGACATATGTTTATAAATTATGGAATTTGTATGCATTTCCCTAACATATCCAAGTGTTTTTCATATCTTTYGTTTGTATCCATGTATTTCCAAAGCATATTCATATCTATATTTGAACTGTCTAATTTCGATATTTAATATCAATACTTTGATCCTTGCTCATTTGTATATATTTGCTTTATAAAACTACAATTAGAGATTGTCCCCATATATACCTATAACCCCCAACCTTCATGACACTGAGATTTAATCCCTATTATCCACTATAATCAATAGGAATGTTCATGGTTTGATTAACCAMGTTGTGGGGAGCACATATTTAAAATGGGACAGATCCTTTCAATTTTTAAAAATTTTGAGCTGAAACCAAACCGAATCAACCAGCTAATCAGTTAACTAGTTTGGCCGGTTTGGTTAAGTAATAGTCTGGAGGCTTAAAAATGTATATTTGCATGCATGACTATTGGAATAATAACAATAGGGGAAAAGTCCTTGAATCCTATCCACTAACAAACTAGTCAACAAAAATCAAATCAAGATCCAGCGGTATTAGTGGAAGAGAAAGATGATTAGTTTTTATTTCTTTTCAGTGTTCATGGGAGTTCAGATTGACGCCCCATAGGGTGTGCTCCGCATGCACGTCTCAGCATGCATTGGGAACATCTCCCCTACATGTCATGGGAGATGTTCCCACTATACGGCTAGGATGGGCTGTAGCTTGTAGGTAAGGATGCAAATAGACTGAGTCAGATCAGATAGGGGGTGATCCCAATTTGATCAAATTTAAAGATCCAAAATAGGGTTATTTGAATCTGATAAAATAGGATTGGACTTTGATTGGATTGGATCGTGATCTGATCCATTTGCGCCCCTAGCCATAGGATGGGTGTAGTTCACACTCTGTGGGATCCCAATGCGAATTCTGTTCATAAGGCTACAAGGGAAGAGGTATTGTGTTTGCCTGTTTCCACCCATACCCATAGCCCCCAACCCTAAAGGGATTTGGATCCTAAGTCTCGCTATAGTCAAGCATAGATCACCTACAAACAAAAACTCTACATACGAAACATCCAAGTTGCATATTGGAAACATCCCATTGTATTACAACCAACCAAAGATTTTGAGATAGAAGAAGAACAAATTAGGGAGAGCATGTTGCTATTTGAGCGATTTTGAGAGCAATTAATTTGATTGTTGAAGTCATCTATATTGCGAAAAGTCATACCATTTATAAAAAAAAAAAAAAAAAAATCATACCAAATCCTTTCTAGCCAAAGTCTTCTCTAGGAAAAAAAGTTTGTCTACATTTGATTCAAAGGGCTATATGTAAAGCATCTAAAACCATGGAGACATTTTTTATAATTTTTTTTGGGTAAAAAGACTTAAACGTACCCTTAGTTTTCATAAAGTAACTTAAACATACCTTGATTTTTGCAAAAAGTTAAATATACCTTCTCAATGTTATCTTAGATAACTTGAACAAAAATACAGTTTTGCCCCTTTGCTAAAATGTTAAACACCAGGGAAGGTATGTTTAACACCTTATTGGAGTGTAGCAATGGCAACAGGRCAGGCTTAGGGCAAGRCACCCCTTCCCCATCCCTGCCTTGTAGACAAAATYCCCTACCTTGTCCCGCCAAAATGGGTTTGGGTCAGAGCACCATTTCCCCGTTAGGGATGAGGAATTCCCAAATATTCCCCACCTCAAAGAAATTACTTAAAAATCCATTAAATTTTAGAGGTATTTTAAATATAGAATTATGGGAATTTGGGAGAAATTTATAAATGTGATTATGGGATCTTACATTTTTTGGAATTTGAGGGAAATTCAAKGGTATTTTAAAATTAATATTAAACCTTGAAATATTTTAATAATTTACCACCGGGTTTGGGGAATTATATGTAAACTGCCCCTGACCTGTCCCCAATTTGGGACAAAAATATTTTCCYCATCCTTGCCCCCTCCCCGTTTACAATCAAGGAAAACTGGCTCCATTTGRGATGTAGTGAGGCCCAGTTTTAATTGTGGGGAAATTTGCCATTCCTACTAGAGCGATACCAAAGGCTGCATGGAGAAAAACCAATTGCTTCACATTTTCTGAATCAAATACCAAATGGCCCTTCCACTTTGTTCGGATCATTCTTTTCTTTCTTTTTATTGGGCACAATGTGGTTTAGTTCTTTCAAGATCTTTGCCTCCACTCAAGGGTTTGTAGGAATAAACCAGAAGAACCAAGTGAGGGATGTGCTGGTTGCGTCTCGTTTGATGAAAAATACACTCAACATTGTGTTTCTAAGTAAAACATCTTTATCCCATGCTTTGGATAATAATTTAATATTCTTTCTTTTTGCCAGTGAA